TGGGGTCTAGGTAATTCCATGAACAGCAGTGTTTAAGAGCCACTCATCCAGTTTCTCTCTCAAGCTGGACAGTGTCATAGGAACTACCCAAGGAGCTTGTTACTGGGTCTGGGCTCTGGGTCCTGCCTTGGAAATTCTGATTTGGCAGAATAGGGAGAGACCAGAGTGCCTTTTTGCAAGTGTCACGTGTTATTCTGATGGGGGCATGCTTCCAACCTCCCTTTGAAAAACCCTGATCTAGGCAATTGGTTCTGAAACCCCCTTTCACAAGTGCACACTGATAGCTGAGGGCAAGGGCCATTCTGTTTTGCAGTGTCCAGGCTCAGCTTTTCACCCAAATATCTCAGCAGATTTATGTTTCAGAGGCACACATACCCATATGGTTTCCATCCAGTACTAAATATTGGTTATTTGTAATCTTATTTTATATCTTTCTTACTACATTGCAAATCTCTTTGGGGTTAAGACTTTATTTTATTCATTTTGTTTTCACCCACTTATGCTTGGCACAGTGCCTTGTGCCTAATAAGTCCTTAATAAATGTTTGTGGAATGAAAGGATTACAAAAACAATTAGGTGTTGTTCTGAATCAGCAGCTTGCCTAATTCAATTTGAAACAAAAGGTGGTCAGGAGAGGAGTATGAAAAAATGACATTAGTGAGAATTCATATCAATTTCTAATATTTTCAGCTAAAAAGAAAAACTTAAAAAAAAAAACTGGTTTGAGGGGCACCTGGGTAGCTCTGTCAGTTAAGTGTCTGCCTTCGGCTTAGGTCCTGATCCCAGAGTCTGGAATCCAGCCCTGAGGTGGGCTTGCTGCTCAGGGGGATGTCTGCTTTTCCCTCTCTGCCTCCTGATCACCTGCTCTCTTGCTCTTGTGCGTGTTCTCTCTCTCTCAAATAAATAAATAAAGTCTTTTTAAAAAAATGGTTTGAAACAGTTCCTTGCGGGGTGCCGGGTTGGCTCAATTGGGTAAGCATCCAACTTGGTTTCAGCTCAGGTCGTGATCTCTGTTTGTTAGATTGAAACCCTCATCGGGCTCCACACTCAGTGTGGAGTCTGCTTGGAATTCCCTCTTCCTCTCCTTCTGCCCCTTCTGCTTGTTCTCTCTCTCTCTCTCTCTCAAATAATAAATAAATCTTTAAAAAAACCGAGTTCCTTGAGGCATATATTTTAGTTGCCAGATTATTTTTTTTGTCCCTCCCTGCTCAATATATAAAATAGCTGCTTTTTCAGTTGACTATAAATACTGAGGAAAATCAACAAAGTTAGGACACGGAGTTCACCCCGCTCTGAAGGCATGCTTGATTGGAACTCTCCTTATTTCAGGTCTGGGAAGTATGCTCTGGACACCTGAGAGGAGGCTGCTTTTCCTGTTGTCATGCTCTACCTTTTTTCAGTCAAGATGTCATTTAGGGCATCTAAACCTGTTCCTCCTCTTCACTTCCACCCTGTGGCAAGGAGGGAAGTGGGCCTTCACGACTGGAAGCTGGGGAGCTCCTTTATCAGCTCAGGCTGTCTGACCTGCTCCCCTCCCCATGCTCACCTTCTTCATTTGGGCATGTTGTCATAATGTAGCTGGTAGAGGCCCAGATTCGCAAAGTTTCTAGTGCCTCCCTGGTTTCTTTGCATATTGTTTACCTTTCTGTTCCATTGTTCTGAGTCCTTACATGGACAGAAGCTCTCCAGCCAGGAAAATTTGGGGCCCATTGCCCTTTTCCCTACTTAGGACGGGACAGAGGGCAAGTCTTGGGACAAGAGCTAGAATCTGCTTCCTGTCTGTCGATCAGGCAGTTGGTTTCCTAATAAAGTATGTCATACTCTCTCCTAAATATTGTTACTCTCCACATATGCAAAGCAGGGGTCAGCAAACTTTTTCTGTAAAGGACCAGGAATGCATAATAAGATGATAAGTGCTTTAGCTGATGTGGACCATAGGGTCTAACTACACAACTCTTTTTTTTTTTTTTTAATATTTTATTTATTAATTTGAGAGAGACACAGTGAGAGAGAGCATGAGCGAGGAGAAGGTCAGAGAGAGAAGCAGACTCCCCGTGGAGCTGGGAGCCCGATGCGGGACTCGATCCCGGACTCCGGGGTCATGACCTGAGACGAAGGCAGTCGTCCAACCAACTGAGCCACCCAGGCGTCCCTACACAACTCTTTTTGTGAGTGAAAAAAGAGTGAGCTTCATTGTAGTGAAAGCAAGCATAGGTAATACAAGGCAAACAAGGTCATGGGTGTTTCAATAAGACTTCCTATTCAGGGACTAGATATTTGAATTTTATGTAATTTTCCCGTGTCACAAACTATTAGTCTTGTTTTGCTTTCTCTAACCATTTTAAAAAATATAAAAACCATATTTAGCTTAAGACCATACAAAAACAGGCAGCAGGCTGGATTTAGCCTCTGGTCTACAGAAATAAGGAAGAAAGAATAGGGAAATGGTTTTTTCCGTTAAGTGTAATGTGGTTTCCTTTGTAGACCCATGCATGTGGGGTTTGGCATGCAAAAGGATCTACAGAAATCTGGAAACACACTGGTCTGAGCATTCTTACCTGGGGATAACCCTGAACTAGGTCAAGTATATAAAGATTTTAGGACATGATATAAGGTGCATTCCTTAAATCTCTAAATAAAATATAAATTGCTCTGAGTTCCCCATCATTTGACTGACAGGAGACTGAAATCTTTTCTCTATCTTTGAGATTATACAAGAATTTAGCTTTATTTGGTGCTCCTGGAGCACAGTGAAAAAGATGCCCATCACCAGTCCATGGTGCTGCTGTCTTGATTCCTCCTCTTTCTACCCAGTGGCGCTGTTGGGGTTGATTTCTTCACTAAGCTGGAAGTTCAGGCATGCATTTTGCTCCCCACTGACTGCTCAGGGCTCCACATCTGCTCTGTTTTTACAGGCTTATGGCGATGCATGAAAGAATAGCCTGTTTCCACATCATGCATGAACTGCCGACCTACTGAAAAAGTCAGATCCAAAGAAAAATCCTTCTCATCCTACGGCTCCTCAACTCTTGCCTTCATAGTGTTAGATCTTGCTGCATCAGCCTAATGAATTCCAAACAGTTGTCTTTATCTCTGAATCTCACCACTCCCTCTATATTCAAGAGTGATCTGAGGGCAGTTTCTCTTCCTGGATGAAATATACAGAACTGAGACCTTTAGAAGCACAATGATCTCCTCTTTGGGAACTAGGACGGGGGTGGGAGGGGTCAGGGAAAGGAGATGCTCATATCAGTCAATTTCTTCTGTAATAATGCATCCTTTTGTATTCTTCTCCTGTGCCAGTCCTTACAAAGAAATGCCTCAGCTGCTTGCTGGTTGGTTGTCTTGACTCTATTCTTCAGATCAGTTCTTTTGGTGGCAAAAATTAGGAAGGGATGAGTCCTAGAAGAAACAGTGGATGCCCCTACATTATTTGAAGAGTTAAGCTAGAATCCTCAGTCTTTTCAAGTGATACCACTTTTTTTTTTCTTACCTATTGTTCTCTAGAGTGTTATCTGAATATGAAAAGGTAGTTTCAGACCAAATGTTGAGGGTCTTCTAGAGTCTGGACTGTATTGTCTAAGCAATGGAGAGCTTCATGCAGAAGAGAGAAACATGTGAATTTTTATTTTGGGTGACTAACTCAGGCAGTGGTTGGAGGATGGATCAGAACAGGAGTCTGGGTCTGGGCATGGGAATCTGTTATTTGGTTGCTGCAAGAGTTCACACAATTCTGGTTTGGATTCTTTATGCATATACTTGCCTGTCTCTCTGGATCATGTGGTCTACAAGGTTAGGTATTAAGGCTTAATCTTGATTCCGTCCATTCTTACTCCCCGAGAGTCTCAAATATATTTATTTTCACATTTTTGACACTTAACAAATAGTAATTGAATTAGATTGTCCCCAGATGAACTCTGAGAATAAAAACACTGAAAAAGAGAGTGCCTCCACCTTTACAAGCTTTTCACTATGCTGTACCATTGGTGTGAAGTCAGGTTCCTTATTTTGACAGTAAAACTGATGACAGCTTTGGGTAAACCTGTCTTCCCTTCCCCCTCCTATTAACATCAGAAACTAATTCTCTACTCTGGATTCTAATATATAGTCATGACAGTAGAATATTAAAACCACATTCTCAAGTCATAAATTGTTATAAACCACATTTTTACATGGTATTGTATAGCCACTGTCTTTTGCAACAGTTTGGCCTGGAATTACAAGTAGTGTGCATTAAATTTCATATGCTCTTTAATTTTTTTATCTCTTCATTTGCATGCATATATTTTATAATCATTCATTCTGGTAATAAACCCCACAGGATTTTAAATTGAATTGAAGTCCCAGATGCTTTAAAAGAATTTATGTTGCATAATTGTATGGGTTTGCCTGAAAACAAACAATAATGTATGACTTAAATATTCTGCCCAGGAGAGAAGTCAAACTCTTGAAATTCTCTGGCTTCTATTGACTTATTGTGAGAGAAAGAGCCCAAAGGCTAAAGGGATTATAAAAATGATAGCACAAAGGAAAGAGAGACAGTCTTGGCTTTTGAAAAATGCACTGTCTGAAACCACATACATATGTCAAGGGAAAATATTTGTGAATTAGCTACATAGCTTACTCCCCAGCCAGAGAGGGGGCATTAGTGTATTGACCCAAATGTGTATGGAAGGCTAAGGAGAAGAATTGTTCTTCCCTCAGTGGGAACAACCTGAGTGGACCAAGGTAGGAGAAGTGCTTAGTATTTGGGAAGAAATCTCAGGGCTTGATTTTTGTTATCTATCGCTGCATCACAAGTTACACCCAAACGGAGCACCTGGAAACAACAGTTTCCGCCCTGCAAGCCAGGCATCTGGGAGCAGTTTAGTTGGGTGGTTCTTACGCATGGACTCTCATGAGGTTGCGTGTGAGTTGTTCGACAGGCCTGCAGTCTCATCTGAACACTCGGCTGGGGAGGATTCTTTCCTAAGTTCACCCAAGTGGTTGTTGATAGGCTTCAGTTCCTTGCTGCAGTTGGCAGGACACTTTAGTTCTTCACCGTGTGAGCCTCTCTGCAGGCTCCCCAAGTAACCTAATAACACAGCAGCTGGCTTCCTGCAGATTCAAAACAGACAAAGAGAGAGAAAGATCACTCAAGACAGAAGTTGCACTCTTTCAATAACCTGCTTTCAGAAATGACATATCATTATTCTGTTATATGCTGTTGGTTACCTAGACCAACGCAGATGTCACGAGGGAGAGGACCACACACAAGTGGGAATACTAGAGGGTGGGCATCATTGGCGGCCACCTTGGTGGCTGTCTACCCTAAGGCTGGACATAGGGCTGGACCCTGTGGGCAGTGACTCAGGACCACAACCTGATGATAGGTTTTGAATCATGTCCTTGTTTGATGAAGGCCAGAGAAGAAAATCAGCCAATTCTCAGCTGCCCTCCTTTTTTATCATCCACCCAACGCCACTTTTCAGCACCTTTTTCTCTGAGCTGTACTGGGATAACTATGGGATAATTAGTGAAGTGAGCACTTGTTTACGAGTCAGAAGTCATATGATTTGGGTTTAAGTGTGGTTTGAACACTAAAACTTTGGAGGCAGAGGATGTATTATTAAATGAACACAGACTGGAATTTAATAAGTCTCATGCAAAGTCAGGCCTCAATTCTTACTGGTTATATGATTGTAGGCAAGACTTGTGAGGCTCAGTTTCCTGTTAGGGAATGGGGAGCACATTTTATCTTTTAGAGTAGGTAAAAAGACTAAATAAAATGTTATTCTCCTTGCTGCTTCCTTGTGTGACATTAAATTGTCACTTTACTTCTCTGGGTTGTGTCTCAATGGAAAAATGACAATAATGGGAAATTTCACCCAGTGGAGTCACTGATGTGCTCTCTGTGGGGTCCAGGGGCTGTGGTTCTTAGCTATGCCTCACCTGGTTATGCAGGCCGAGCACGGGGTCCCACTGGGGCTGGGCACATGATGAAACCTAGATTATGGGGAAGATGGCTAGAGGTGAATGCAGAGTGAGAAGAGCTGAGGGCTGGGCTTTTCCTTATACATGGAAAATATTTTTGCACAGTGCTGAAAGGGAACAAAGAAGGAAGTATGATTGATGTTTTGTATATTGCTGGCATTACAGAAATAAGGAAGAGAAAATCACTAGGGGGAAAAAATAGCAAAGGAAGAATGGGAAGTCCCTCTTTGAGAATGCATGAAATTAGTCCATGTTTGCAGTTCTAGAAATGTCCTTTCAGTTATGGAACAGATAACCCTTAGCTCAAGTACAAACAGGGAGATGGCAGAAGAAGGGGTTAAATAAGAAACTCATGGAATCCCAATGGAGTTGGGAGTTGGAAATAGCAAATGAAGCTGCTCTGATGGCTTCTGAGGAGTTCAGTTCTCTCTTTAAGTCCTCTCTGATGTTTTTCTTGGTCACTCCTCCTGCTCACTCCTGCTTCACGTGTCTCAGCATGACTGCATTAGCCCCAACTTTCCCTCTTGGCCTCTCAGGCTCAGTATCCACCACAGACTGTCTCTATGTCCCATTAGCTCAGATTTTGAGAGGAGGGATCTTGTTGGTAATTGGTTAGAAAATGAATTGGCTGGCCTTCGGTTAAATGTCTGTTGCAGAACTGGTTGCAAGGCAGTTTTCTAGAAGAGACGATGAGAAACACAGTCAATGGAACTGTGTCCAGTACATCATTTCTCCTTAAAAGAGATGGCGAGTGTACAGAAAGCGGTTACCAGGCTGCCTCTCTGCATTTAGCAGGATAATAGTGAGGGATAGAATGGTTTGAAAAGTTTCATGGAGAGGAACAGCTGATAGACTCTCTTCTCCCAGGGCTGACAGATCTGGGGATGGGAAAAGAGAAAGCTTCTTTTTTCTCGTACCTGAAATAATGCATTTTCTGGAGGCCAGTAGTTTTCAGACTTTGAGTTTGCAGGGCAGTAAAATTAGAAAAACAAAACAAAACAAAACAAAAACAAAGGGTGCTGACATAATGTTGTGAACTTTATATTACGCCAAGAAAAGATTCTCAAACTTCCCACAATGACTACTTTAAAAAAAAATCATTTCACAAAAGAAAAGATATTTCTGTCTCAAAAAAATATAAAGGACTTGTTCTCAGACTATCAGAGATGCCTTGAAATGGAGTATGTTTAGCCTCATGAGAAACTAACTAGATTATCCTAACTTATTTCCCATTACTACTGGCAAGCTCTTGAAAATGTCGTTACAGGTTGGCGTGAGTTGACGTGTCAGTGCTCATGGGCTGACCTGTTTGGGGAACCGTTGATATAGTTTAAAAGAAGACACCTAGGGCATAGAAGTTGCGAGCAAGTCATCAAGTAACAGGATGAGAAAACGTGATTTGATCATTTATTCATTTCACTCATTCACTGAACAAATATTTGGTGAGCATCACTATGTGGTTCATAGATATCAGATGACTCAAACAAGATTACTAATTAATTTTAGTTAATTGCTGTTTTTTTGTCTTGTTTTGTTTTTTAAAGCAGAATGCTTCCTGCTTATGCCCCTTTGCTTTTCAAATTGGACAGTTTGTGGGAGATTAAAGCCAAGTTTTAAACATGTAGAAGCAAGACTTTAAATTAGGTTTTTCAAAGAAGGGGTCATGGCCAGATTAAAGTAGAGGAAAAATTAAAAAAAAAAGTTGAAGGAGCCACCGCTATTCAAATTCAAAGAAATTGCCTTTGCTGGTGGGTTAAAATGTAAAAACCTGAATCATTTTGATTAACTCTTTAAATGAAATTTCTTTTAAACTTTTTTTTCCTTCTTGGTAGGCACTACTTTCATAAAGGCGTTTATGCAGAAACCCTTTTTTATTTCAAGGAAGACTGCTTGTATAGCTCTATTTTTGTTCAGAATGATTTTCCCCTCTCGTTCTTCAAGGCATTATCGTATCATTTATGTGGGTTTCTGGAAAACTTCTAATTCTTAAGATTTCTGATCATGGCCAAATTTCATTCAGGTGCTGCTCATTTCAAATAAAAAAGTTTGAATAAAACCTTTATCTTGGTTTGACAGAGAGAAAAAGTGAAGGGAGAGATGTCCCAATTCTCTCAGTTTCCATTAACTTTAAGCAGAAGCTTTGCCTGTGGAAAAGGAGATATTCTGATGGCAAAGAGACTGAGGAGATTAAGTGGCTTTCACACGGCCATGTAGGATGTCATTCATTGAGTATCTAGATAACCTGATTTCCAGATCCACACAGAGGTATATGCTCCGCTCTGTGCAGTCAGTAACAGCACTGATTTGCTCTGGGAACCTTCCCTACATTACAGTTAACTCACAGCGCAAGCGATTTGCACTTTAATGGAGTTGCAAAGTCTGCGAACTTCATTTCTCAGAGTTCCATTCCCATTGCCTATCGTTTGTATTTAAGGTCCGTCAGTATAGACATTGTTAATGTCTTTTTGGGTCATTTCCCCCCTCTTAAATGCCTTTATAGGATTGAAAAATTTCCATGATATTATGTTTGGCTTTAAAGTATGAAGATTTTAGTAAACGGAGAAAAGAATGCAAATCCAAATTAAAATGACCAGAAATTCCATTTCCCAAAGAAAACCACTGTTAGCATTTTAGCCTTCCCCACATCATGAAATATTATAGAAAAGAAAGTGCTACTTACAGTAGCAGTGACTACAGAAGCTTCTGCGTTTTGGAGGAGTGGTGTAAGTCCTCTCAGGTGGGGTTGGTTGTTTTTGTTCTTTATGGAGGCCAGCAATAGTTTGGGAATAATTCTGAATCAGGACAATAGAATCCAAGTAAGACCCGCACTTGAAAAAAAAAAAACAACAAATTTAAGACTTGATACATACATCAAAAAAAAGTTGGTGTTAGTCCGCAAACAATTTGCAAGAAGTAAAGATGAACACTCTCAGCAAAGAGACAGAAGAGGAGAAACAGTAATTCATTTGAATTACAGGATCGCGTCTATTTAGATAGGATGTGCTTCAACAGCTACCTCTGTTTATTGTTGGGCCCATTCAGACTATAACAATGTTACTGCCTTTTGGCTTTGCATATTGATACACTCTTTTTTTTTTTTTTCACTGTGATCAAGAACTGAGGAGGGAAAAAGGAGAGAGATTTAGTGAGCTATGACACAATTAAGATTTTACATTGTAATGACTCTTTGGTTTGTCGTGTTTTGTCAAAGATGTGTCTGGTATCTATTGTTTTTATTATTTCCAGCTGTCCTAATTATTTCTCTCATTTGATTTTAATTCAGCTTTCAAAGAGGAGCTGGCTTGCCAGGTGGTTATCATTTTTTCTAAACTCCTTCAGCTCTAATTAAAAAAGATGTCCAAAAAAGTCATTATTTCAGCATTTACTTGTGACATGGTTCTGACCCCGTTGATGAGGGAGTTCCGTGTCCCTAATGCTGATTTCTGTTCCTAATGCTGATTTCTATTGTTGGCGCTGTTGCCCGGGGCGCTGAGAGGGAAGAAAAAGGCACAACCTTTCAGAATATGTGTGTATTGTTTCTTAAAAGAAAACAAAACCAAAACCAAACATACTGTGTTTTTTAGTTGGGAAATAAAATGTTGAAGTAAGACAAATGTTACATTTAAGTGTTACACACTTAAAAAAAATAGTAATCCTAACTAACATTCATGGCTTGCTAATACTTTAAGTTTTTATAAGCTAGGTTTTCTTTGGGTTACTTGTTAATAACCAACATATTAAAGTTAGTGAAAAACGGAAGAAAAGACTGTTTAGAGACAAAGGAGACTATGAGGCCAAGTTCGGCTCCATGGGGTTTGATGGGTCAATCACTCATTTATCTTTGGGAAATGAAACAAATAAATGTCTATTCTTCATTATTAAGCAACAGGATGATTAAAAGCTACCGGATGGTTTTCCTTTGGAAAACTTGGCTCCATGAACCTTCTCCCCAAACTCGCCTCACTGGCAGAAGGCAGTGGGGTGACCCCAGCTCCATCTGCAGCTGGCTGCCTCACCTTCCACGTGCCCTCAATACTCCCTCACCCCCTGCCCTTCGTCCTCTTGTTCAGGCCACCCTGTGTCAATCTAGGTCACTTCCAAAATGTCCCAAGCTAGCTGCTCGGACGTGAGTGCTTGTGCTGAGGAGACATACGTGTTACTACTTGGAACGTCAGACTGCAGCCTTCCTTTGTGAGCTCAGACGTTCACAAGCTAGGTGACAAGTTCAGAGAGGTCAGACTCTGCAGGTCCTGTCTGTACTGCTTTCATGAACCCCCTGAGATGTTTCTAAACTCTGTACTGGGCCTGTGAAAGCTCTGATCACATTCCATAGTGCTGTCTGGTTGCCTTTCTTAATGCATACATTAAGGTGTCCTGTGAAGGCTCAGGGGCCTCGGTGTCCTTCTCTGGAAATGGGGGTTCTGATCAACAGGGTAGGAGATTGTCAGTTGTTAAGCACGTGTCAATGAATAGGAGTGGCTTTTCCTTCCTCCCTCCCCTCTGATGAGTATTCTAATCCTGAGTTCTGTCTCTGGGGCAGGCCAGGGGAAGTAGGCATAGAGTCTCTATGGGTAACCGTGTCATTAAACAATGCCCTGCTCCATGAGGTCCCTACTAGACTCATCATTGGTAATGGAAGTTATGATTAAAATATAACTTGCAAAGGGAACAGTTTTCTAGGAATGTTTGGCTGACACTGGCCATTTTATCCTTTAGAAAAAGAACCCTAAGGCTAGAATTAGGGACATGTTCTTTTTCCTCTCCTTGAGAAAGAGGAGGCTTGGTTTCTGGAAGAAGCAGCACAAAACATAAAAACTGTCCCAGACCCAGAATTGCAAAATGTATTTTGGAACTAGTCCAGATCTGGCTTTCAATACATACCATACATTACAAAAATGCACGCCCCCTTGTCCATCACATCATATGGAAATCTGCCTAGATGCAGCAGCGGCACAGGCATCACGCACATCCAGGTTTCCTGCCAATCATAGCCCGGGGGAGACTTCTCCTCAAGTGAGCAGTGGCCAAAGCCAACTGCTTCATTTGCTCTCTTTGCTCCACTGTGACCATCATGGGCTCCATGCTAATTTATAGCGCCTCTTCCTCATCCCAGGACCAAGAACCCTGCCTGCCCTCCCTCCGTGAGCACCCACCTAGTGACTGGGAGAAAGGTCAGAGGAGGGTGGTTTCCTGTAACTCTTTATTTATAGGAGAACATGGATCCTCCCCATAAGGAAGACCCAAGCAACTTGAAAACCCTATTACCCTGGCTCCCCTGATCACACCATTTGGAAGCAAGGGGTTCATCACCAGAATCTCCAGGTTCCTAGCTCTGCCATCCAGGAATGATTCTCAGAGAATATTTCTTTAGGACAGCCCAGATAGAAATGGTTGTCAAATCCTGAATTTCTGTGAAAAGATACTTCTGTACTCCCTTGGGATTACTAAAATAATTTTTAAAAAGTGTACTTAAGGCAACTTTAGGTGCCTGTATGTGATAACGGTGCAAAGGCCTTTGTGACTAAAAGTAACAAGTATTATTTGATAATCACCAGGAGCAACTTTCCCACCCAAATTTCTCACATTTTCTGCTTGTTTACCTCTTGCTCATCTTCAGGTGTCAGTTCTAAAGTCTAAACATGTGGGATCGAGACTTTAAATTGGGTTTTTCAAAGAGGGGGTCATGGCCAGATTAAACCTCGAGAGGAAAAAAAAAAGGTTGAACTAGCCGTGGCTATTCAGATTCAAAGAAATTGCCTTTGCGGGTGTGCTAAAATGTAAAACTGTCAGTTCTGAAGTCCTTTCCTCAGGAAGGCCCTCCCTGATCCCGTGGACCAGATTACTTTTGCAGCAATTACCTTAGTTAATAGGAAACACTTATTTGTTTCAAAGAAGCAGAAATGAGGCTCCAGAATCATATAGCTCATGTTTGAATCTTGGCTCCCATTCATGAAGACTCCATCGTCATGATCTAATCAAGGCCCCACCTCCTACTACAAACTAACTGTTGGGGGTTAGGATTTGAACATGGGAATTTTGCGGGGAAACAAACATTCAGTGTGTAGCGACAGCTAGTGTTTTATCCCGTCACCTCACTATGTAATGGTGATTCCCTATTACGTGCCATATAAGACCAAACTTTCCAGCCTGGCTCAACTCCCAGACAAATAGATAAAGGATGATATGAGTTTACATTTTTTTTTTTTAAAGTGTTTTTATCAGGAGGTATAGATTTTCTTTTTAAGAATTTGGTATTATGAATATACAATGGCCCGAATCCTCATCGGACACTCTCTTTCTTTATTCTACTCAGACTCGTGAGTAACACTTTTATTTTTGCCATATTTTCCTCACATTTCTTTGTCTTGTGTGCCACTTTTACTTCCTACACCTTCAGAAATTAACTTTGCTATTAGCTGTTAACTTTCTTTAGAATTGTGTCGACTTTTCTTTTACCTTCTTTTTTTTTAAGATTTTATTTATTTGTCATAGAGAGAGAAGTGAGAGTGAGCACAGGCAGACCAAGTGGCAGGCAGAGGCAGAGGGAGAAGCAGGCTCCCTGCCAAGCAAGGAGCCCGAAGTGGGACTCGATCCTGGGACGCTGGGATCATGACCTGAGCCGAAGGCAGCCGCTTAAACAACTGAGCCACCCAGTCGTCCCTTCTTTTGCCTTTTCTTGGCTCCTAGTGCTTGACCTGGTAGGAGCACTTGAGCCCAATATACCATCTGCCTCTTCCTTCTACTTTAGTCGTTGCAAGCCTCATTTAGACTCACAGCCTCAACAGGTTATAGTTGAATGGGACCTTTGGGAATCAAGGCCAGTTTTATCATTCTACAGATAAGAAAGGGAAGCAACTCGGCCTCAGAAAGGGAAGCAACTGGGCCACCATGGTGGAGCTAGTTTGGGGAGAGTCTGGGTGAGGCCTTTGGATACTCAGTCCAGCGAGGCTGCCAGAGGCCACACCCCCATCACTTTGCATCAGCACCGTTCAACTTTTTCAATTTCTTTAGCACGTTATGAACCCTCTTCTCCTGAAGATTATTAATGCTTCCCTTAAGATTATTCAGCTTCTAAGACCCGGGCATCTGGGTGGCTCAGTCAGTTAAAAGACCAACTCTTGATTTCGACTCAGGTTATGATCTGAGGGTTGTGGGATAGTGCCCTCCATGGGGCTCTGCCCTCAATTGTGAGTCTGCTTCCCCTTCCCTCTGCCCCTGTCCTTGCTTGCAGGCACTCATGCTTCTCTCTCTATAAAATAAATAAATCTTAAAAAACCAAAATCAAAGACCAGCTAGGTTTTTCTGTTTGCTTTATCTTCTTTTCCTTTATTTAGGGAATGTGGTTAGGGTGCTCTTTAGGTATGAATTGGGTCTGTAGACATGAATTGTTTGGTAAATTGAAACTGATATTCATCTGGAAAATAACTAAAGCATGTTGTGCATTGTTCTGCTCAGATAGTTAGCAATGATGCTCCAAATTCTCAGACTAGACAGAAACACTGTGATCCAACAGTTGGCCTTTTTGAAATGAGTTTCAGATAGTCTTTCCCTGAGTCATTCTTCAAGGATTGCTTTGACAGTTATGTGGAAAAAGAAAAGGGACAGTGTTACTGATTTTAAACAGAAGATAAATTACAAATATGAGGCAGCATCATATTTTTCAGCAGGCTAATTCACACAATGGATTAAGTTTGTGAATAGAATTAACTGAAATGGATATGAAACGTTTATGAACTTTTTAAAAAA